ATTGACATAACAAACAATTGCATCACCCAAGTAGTAATGATACCAAGGCCATGCAAAAATGAAACTTTTAATAATGCGTGTCTACCCAGATCTCTGGTGTTCACAAAATAAATTATTTTTCCTGATTATCAATTATGGTTCCTTATGAATAATAAATCTGATGTTGATCACAGGTATCAGATTTAATTAAAATTTCTATCACAAACATGCAAAACGGTGCAATTAAGCACAATTCAGCACCATAGATTTTTTTCTCCACAGGTGAAACAGTCTTAAACATGTTGGAAGGCTTTGGACAATACTTTCCCTATCTTCCTCTCAGACCAGGCTTGGCTGTTACCACATGGGAATTGATCACTGATAGCTGGTGCTTGTATGATATACCTCTCATTAAATAAATTTGATTTAGATAACAAGTTCAGTTGGTCAAACAAAAATTTAGAGAAACAGAGAATCTATGAATTAATTTATACAAAACATACCAAACAAAATCCGAACCATTTTATTTTACAGCTTTCTCCTTGATGCCAATGGTCATGGTGACTATCACAATAGGAGTGGGCAGAGTCAAACTGCCACCTTTATACTTGTCAATATACATGCTCTCATTGAGCTACACTCCTTTAACCTAGGGTGGGTTATATGGGCAAAAGCCCCCATTTAAAAAATAACAAGTTCAGTTGATCAAATAAAAATTAAAGAAACAGAAAATTTTTGGAAACGATTAATTTATACAAAACATATCAAACAAAATCTGAACCATTTTATGACTTTTTTCTTATTGGCCATATTGCTGACAAAGATATATATAATCATGTGATAATTTTAATCTATAGGACAGGGGACTGATTGGGCAAAAATCCGACCAGTCTCCTACCCAAAATTATAAATTGGTCAGTATCAAAGAAACAGAGAATGTATGAAAATGATTATACAAAATAAATGCTATTTTACAACTTTCCTCTTAACATCAGAGCCCAAATACAACTTCAGGGCCACCAACATGCTCTGGATTGTGACCTCCTGTGCTTGAAACAAGTTGCATATTCTCTTAATATTCCTCCAGAGTTATGACGATTTGGTCACAGAGCCATCCTTACCCTAGAGGTAGGACCGTTGCAGGCAACTTTTTGACCAGCATGTCAACAACCATCTCTGGTCTGGGAGGATAGTGAAAATGTCATTGACGATTGATGCAGTCTTGGTAAACTCCAGAGCTTTGCGCCCCTCCCTGAAAATTCAGTAGCATCGTTGTATCATCTGGAGCACCGTGGTCAGATTAGCCTTGTGTACATGAGGAAATGTGAGAATGACTGTAAAGTGTTCAAGGTAACGTGCATGCTTCAACACCTGCCAATTTTCGATAATCAAACATCGCATATTTGAATTGTTTCTTTTTAAACGGTGTATTGCCTTGACATCTTGTGATTATAATATTTAAATATTAGTAGTATTATTATTATGGTTACACAAAGCAACATAATGAAAATCTTGTAATTACCCAGCAAGATCTGTTCCGTGTTTTGATTACAATTAAATATTTATAAGCTAAAATAAAAACATCAATACAAATAAAAAAAAGTACCTCTGGTTAGTTATTAACACGTTTCTTTAGGAGACCCAAACCAAACCAAACAACAACACTCACGTTTTGTCACCTTGGACTCTGTCAAAAAATAAATTGTTTTTTGTTTTTCCAAAAAAAAAAATAATTAATATGTATGTGTCGATCAAATCACAAGCATCTTTTTTTTATTTTTATTTCATAAACATGTCATTTGAAAAAACAAGAAAAGAATTCGTTGTTGATGTTGCGGGTAAGTGTTTTAAGGATGGCGGTGGTTATTGCCCACCACTCATCATTACTCTAGTTTATTTATAGTATTCAGTTATGGGACATGAAGAATTACGAAAATAAAGATGTTTCAGTTAACCAAGGAACATGGAAAGTGGAGGGTCTAGTAAATATGATCCAAAACTTGGTTAATCAAATTGTTATTGCATTAAATAACAAAACAAAATCAAAGCAAGACAATATTGGTATGTAAACAAAACTGATACAATTTCATCGATAGAATGCTAACTTGATGATAATTTTTAGGGCAGAACGTACCTTATTTGCTTCTTTTAGAAGAAAAAATGATAAAAATATAGTATGGTTTTGGAATTGAAATACACATTTGTTTAAACCTGAATCTAAATAATAAATCTGACTAATTTTATATTTGATCCAAATAGTCTACTACATACCTTATCAAAGGGTCAAACCAAAAGAGGACATCTGGTGGATTATAATTTTACATTTCGGATAAATGAAAGTATATTGGAAGTTTTTATTTGTGAATTTGCAGGTGGTCCATGGATGAAGGTAAAAGAAAATTTGAATCAGACACATTTAAGCCTTGTCGTGAGTTGAAAGATGCATATCATAACTTGATTTACCATTTTATTTAAGCACCAAGTTGTTTGACAGATGAAATTGTTAGTCTAATGATTAATCTAAGAGTATATGGAGGAATTTCAAATGGTATGTTTTATACTTTTTAACAATTTAATCTTAATTTCAGTTTCACATTTAAAAATATCATTCTAAATACTCAGAATTCCAATTTGTGATTTATGCATTTGGTATAGAAAATGGAGTTCCATGGTGTTAGAAATTTAGTCAATCATAATTTTGCTTGACTTTTGAAAGCAATTGGATGTTTTTCTGAAGTAACTTCCTATAGTATTCCAAAATGTTGGAATGAATCTAAAAATTTAAAAAACATGATAGAACATTGTTGGAGGTTTAAAGTTTTTTTTATTTGACTTTAATTCTTTTTTTTAATTTACGGTAACTAATAAAAATCTTCAAAATAAACCTTCAAGATACAATTGACCTCATTTTAAAAATTCAACGTAAATGTGAAGCCATGAAACTAAGCTCTGAAATTAGCAATAATGTTTCAAGTTATCTTCAATATTAGCAGAAATCAGATCTGGAAACTGTCTCTATTCTTCTACACCCATAAAAATAAATAAATAATACAGTATATTGTGAAAAAGTAAATCTGCAGATTGAAAAATGTACTGTGGTAATACCTGTACGTTTCATGTGTGTCTGAATAAAGTTAAAAGTTTATAAGTATAAAAATAAATAAAATGTGGATTGGAGTATGGAGGGTAGTTGTGGGGTTTTCCTGGAACATTGGGTCTGGACCACCCCCATGTATATTGTATGTGTGGTGGTAGGTCGCAGTTTAAAATACGGGTCCGTAAGTTAGATCAAGTTAGTTTTAATTTCTTCTAATATAAATGTATAGATATATGGGGCATGGACAAATAGAAAGGGACCAAACGTCAAAATCACGATTTTGAGAAAATCAAAAAAAAGATTTTGACCCAAAAACTCGGAAATTGCATATCATTTCTATATTCATGACAAAAATCAGGGGCTATTTTAATAACTATATATATATAATAAAAAATAATAAATAATAATAATAATAAATAAATAATAAAATAATATGGGAGTTGGACTAGGAAAATCGACCCCTCAGCATTTGTTACACATGATTTTTATTATATAGTAAAATCATATCAAATCTATTTTTAGAAAAAAATTTTCCTAGTCCAACTCCCATATGTAGAAATAAAAATTTTAAAATTTATAGAAAGCTTTTTTATCAGGATTTTGAACATATTGAACAACATTTTCAAGTATATACTTTTTTCTGTCAAGGGTTAAACCTAAAGGATATTTTTTTTCTAAAACAGCATCTATAGTGAAATTTTTGGTTATGTCTATATCTATAAGTTCACCATCAATACTTTTCTTAACATATACAATCCCTGGTTCTTCTTGATTAAAAATAAAATGATGATACTTTAAGATATTTGGTAATGGTTTAAAAATTTTTTTTAAATATTCAGTCCAGCTGTAAAAAAAAACTTTTCTTTCATCATTTTCATCATAAATAGTCTGAGCAACATTATACCCATTTGTTGATGACTCTATAACATTAACAAGATCCTCTAAATTATCAACTTCAGAATTTTTGAGCTTCAATTTAAACAATCCAAAAAACCCATCAGGACTAAATTTGGTATGGCCAGCTACCATAAAAGAATATGTGATTCTTTTATGCTTACCTGTTAGCACTCTCCATGCTAAATATTGAATCATTGCATTGTTTTTATTTTGTCCTGAACAATTATCTGCATGAATGATTATTTCCTCTTCACCAAGACCATACAATTCAAAATAATTATGTACTAAAGAAATAACAGCATCAGCTCCTTTGCCAACAAATTGTGATTCT